TTCCTATGTTTTTTTTCCACTTAAGTGCTTTGATTTGAAAAATGGCGTCGAAAATCAAAAAATTACCTCCTTAAAATATAGTATAAAAACTTGAGCTTTTTTGAAAAGTAGTTGCACGTAAAAATCGGAACAAGTTTACTAGGAAAAAAAACGTGTCCACAGACTAGAAGAAACAAAAAATAAGAAATAAACATCTTAATAAAACCAATAGCTCCCTCCCTACGCTCGGAATCCAAAATGTCTCATAGAATACCAGCATATTATAATATTTCACAATGGTTTTTCTGTATGCTATCATCAATCAGATAAGATAACAAAAATTTCGATTTACTTGTATGTAATAATATTATATTGATCTTGGTTTGCTGGGAACGTGAACTCTTTTAGTGTTTTAGTTATTAGTATTTAGTACTAGTTCATAGTTATAATTCACGAGTCGTATACCAAATATGGATCGTAAAATTGAAAGCGCTTTTATTACAAAACGAAATAAACGGCGCATTTCGGTTGAAAATATTTAACCACACGCGTGGAATTTACAAACAGTCCCAAGTCTGTCAAAAAGCGAGGCAAAATGAATTGTTATAAGTCGCCCAAACGCAAACCGTTCCACTAAACGTTCTCAAAAGTCGCCGGTGTACCATTTTGGAAATTCATCAATTTTATTTTAAATTTTACTCCCGCGGGAAATCTATATATGACTGCAATGTCTATGGTTTCTATATACGAAACTACCAACATAAAACAATTAAAATAATTAAATTGTATTACGAAAATGAATAAATACTATCGTACCGTTAGACACATCTAGCGGCTCCCTCTGGGGACTAAACTCGAGATTTACAGTTGTTTTATAAACGGATCGAAGTGATAGAGGTGGGGAATTCAATCAGAACTTCAGCGTGTTTTGGAATAATTTTTTGACTTTGAACGCCCCTAGAGATTCTCCTAAAATGAATCTAAGGAATGAAATTGTATATTTGAATTGAGTTTGTGTGTCTTAGGATGTTTCAACTTTCAAACTCCACACCCCCCAGTATTTGCATGCCAAGAGTTCACGTTTTTAGAGATTTCCATTGTTTGTTTTGTGAAGTGCCAAATTATTTTTAAAGTTATTAATTGAAAACAAATGAAAATTCGATTTTGAAATAAAATTAAAAAACTGTACAAAGGAAAAATTGTACTCAAGTGGTGGAGCTTTGTTGCTCACTGATGTTGTTTATACGTAACCATTGACTTTCGAATTGAATTCGAATTCGAATAATATCGCTCGATATCAGAACATGCTTTGAGCAAAACGAGTAAAAAGGTTTTAGCATAAAACATTTTAGCTAAAATTTATCAAACGATGAATTAATGACGTTGATAGATAAAATGATGTATTATTTATACAATAAAATTAAAATTATCCAAATTTACTTGTTTTGGGTTAATATGTTCAATATTAAAATTAATCGTATTGCGACAGTGTATCGTATTTTAAGACACTAATTGCACCGACAGCGTGTACTGCAACAACCGATTGTTATATACTTTTTTTTTTTTCGATAACATATAATTTTCTCGTTTATCCCATTTAATTCTGCAGTTACGCGGAAATACGGTATAAATAATATACGAACAGGGATCGTCATAAAATAACCGCTTTTTTTACCATAGGAAAAATCGCACAACCCGAATCGGTCGTTATTTTTAGTTCTGATAGGGGGAAAATTGCACCGTTAGGGGTACCCTATACTCGTCCTGTTGGTTTACCGGCGTTCTACGCGTATGCTCTACGGAAAGTCTGAGATTCAATGTCATTTACACTTTGCCGGTGACATACAAGAGTATACCATGACATACATACTATAATATATACACCTAAATAGTACGCATAACAACATTGTGTATGTTTTAACTCGTACATTACGTATGTTCGGCCGCCGCCGACGGCCGACGTGACTCGTTTTGGTTCGTACGCGTGCGACACTACAGAGCGCGCGATGCACGCCTGTTGCGACGCGGACGACAAAACGAGCGCCCGTCGGCGACGTCCGACTGGTATTTTGGCGTTTATGTAACGCGTGCGTTATTGCGCATAAAAAATGTACAGTAAACCGTACAAAATAACAACGGTGGATAATAATTATACGTGGCGTTTATTTTTAGGACGGAGTATTATGTTGTTCTTACAACGTGCGCTACTGCAATAACAGCGCTATTGCCGGGGCAACAAGCCATCCAACAAGTGAAGATGTCGTCCACGATCTGTCTGCTCGTCAGCCTCGCGGTGTTTCGCGCGAAAACGCCGCCGGTGTTCAATCTGCCGGCGAAAATGTACGGCGGGCCGTTTTTGAACGGAGTGTTCGGCGCCGAAGACAAGCGACCGTGGTCAACGTCGACGACAGTAATAATATTAACGATATTCTTATCGATAAGAGAGATATTGAGATACCGCGGTATACCTACTAGAACGGCTAGAATCACAGGCAATCGCCACGCGGGCGTGGACCGCGGGAGGAGGCGTGATCGGTCCGAACGGATCGACGGAAATATAGATTGATATTGTGTAGAGTGTGATAGTGCGAGAGAGGAGAACGACTTTGCACTCCGGGAAGGGTTAGGGGACAAAATCCCCCAAAATGTCTTCCTTCGCTACGTTTTTTTTTAAATCAAAGGGTTTTACATTCAACAACATAATATCTTATACCACAGAGTATAATACAATTTATTCTCGTCAAAATCCATTTATTCAGTAATAATATAGTGATAATATACTGTACTTATGTGCTGCTGTGTTATCCCCGCTCTCTGGGAAATTATTATAAACAAAATCTGTTATCCCCATGAGAATTGCACAATCCCATAACGTATATACTTTAATTCAGGGGCGGCTCGTAGAGAAATCCCGGTCACCACACGTTTAGGAGATTCGCCCGGGAATTTTCAATGGGAGGTGATGTAGCAATAATATGAATCGTAAAATCGTCTTCTCTACCCAACTCGATAATGGGAATTCGGTAATTTAAAATTCGGATCCTAAAAAAATGTCAATTTCTACTCAATACATCAATCTTATCTTCGTAAGTCGACTGAAAAATATGCATTTCGCTATTAAATTACTCGTAGTTTTTGTATTTTTAAGCTGATGGGTGGGGGGCGACGATATAACCCCTAACCTCCCCTTTGCGTACACCACTAAGAGCCTGGTTTAAAAATATGTTTGTATCGAAAATCAATACCTAAGAGTAAAAAGCAATTTGAAAATAAAAACGACACAATAATATTATCTTGAATCATTTATTAAATTTTCGAGAATTTTGCGAAGCTAAACAATGTTATCCATACAAAACTAACAAAAATACTAAAAATGTATACGAATTTTAAAAAATGACCAAATATTTTGAAAACCGTATCACGTTTAGAAAGTTTTCGGTGTTGTACCCCTATTTTTCCCATTAAACTCTTCTGCAAGACTAGCAAAAGAATCAACAAAAATCTCTCGGCCTAAAATTATCCCAGTTCGGGGCTTATATACCATTAGTCGTTACGATATCGGATATATTAATAAAATATAGTATAAGAGAAGAATAGAGAAAGGAACTTATAATCATAAGTAATATAAAAACAGCGCAATACGACTCTTGTCGCTATGTAGCAAGTTGACTAGTTAGCCTTAGCAATTTATTATGATGAATTGTTTAGAATATATTATCTTGAACATAATATTTATCAGGGGTGTCCAAACGGTCGACCGGCAGTTCGCGGATAGTTTAAATGTCGACCTCCCTTTGAAATAATTTATTTTTATCGTACAATATTAGTAGATAAATCACGATTGCTAATCTTCTTTATCTTAATATATCATCATTTCGTTGTAAATGTATCTAGTAATACGATTATCCGTCCAACGTTTCTACTGGCAATTGCATTTACAATTTATTGATTACGCATAACACATGATGTAAAACTATACATTTTAGTTTTATTATTTGTACATGTATGTTTCTTGTATTAACCTATTAGGTAATTCGTGAATATGCATTTGTGTTAGGCAGTCGATCCTCGAAGGAAAATGTATTCTAAGTAAACCTCTACCCAAAAAAGATGTTTAGCCGCCTCTGAAATATATAATTTTCATTATATTGAACACTGTACGGTTATGTTATAACGATGACTTAACGACGTTTTTTACTTAACAGACTGGTGGTGGAGAAAAACAAGACGGCGGAAAAGAAGAAGAACACCTCAGAATACGGGTAGTGGCGGCGGTCGGTACCGGACTAGTAGTGTTATTATCGAAAACCGCGTTAACGGTAATAATAATATTAACATCGACGACCGCGGCGTTAATAGCAAAACTAAAGACAATAATAATAATAATGATAACCACCGCAATAGAATTGTTTTAAAGACTGTTGTTGTTACTTAAGTAGATTATATTATTTTGTTTGCGTACGAATGGGCGACGACGGGAGCCGAGAGAAGAGATATTATATTATAAATGGTATATAACCTGTGAGCAAAACCGGTGGTGACGATTTGTTATTGTTATTATTATTATTAGGAGGAGGAGGTACCTCTATTATAATATTATACTTACTAAATAGAACCACGATGAATTAGTTAAGGAAAAAAAAAAAAAAAAAACTTATAAAATATTGCATTAGTGTATTAATTTTTTTGATTTTAATAATTTTAAAAATCGATTTTGCATAAATACTATAGTTAAAAAAAAAAAAAAAAAAATATTAAAAAATTAAAAACCGTTGCCACCGCTGATGTTTGCTATTTCCGCTGTGATAATATATAATACAAATAATTTTAATGCTATTTAGTGTGTTTAATACTATAAATATATATAGTATAATATTGTGTATGTATTATATATATTATTGTAACATTATACACGATAGACGAACAGCCTACGATAATGTCTCTCCTCTTCTTCGCTACGATATTATTATTATTATTGTATTAATGATTATTATATTTTGTAATTAAAAAAAAAATAATAATAATAACGATAAAAAAAAAAATATATATATATATACTATTATAATAATTAGTTATAATAATTAATTATATTAATTATACATAATAGATAAGTTTTATTTTTATTATTTATTTATTTATTTTATCATTTTAATTTTGTATTAATTTAATTATTATTATAATTTTTTTTTGATTGAATTAACCAATAAAAAATAGATAATCAGCTGTGCAGGGTGTATTCAACAAACGATAATAAATAATAATAAATAATATAATAATAATTTATAATTTAATAACAATAATCATGTTGTAATATAATCGTGTTATACGATAATATTATGTTGTTGGAGTGTTGGTATGTATTTAAGAAAATAATAATAACGACGTGAACTAGGTAAATTATTGTCGTGGAAAATATTATATATTTATCGAATGTTATATTATTATTTATTATTTTTTTTTTTTTCTAGTTTAAATACAAGACTGCTGGTCTATGAACAAAATATTAATATAGACGTGTCTAAAAAAAGAAAAAAAAAAATTTAGATAATTATTTAATAATGATATATACGAAGGTACACATTATTGTAATAGGTAAAATGTTTTTCGCGTTATTAATATTTGTTAATTTATTTAAATGGATTAACATAATATTATTATTGTTATTATTATTGATTTATACCAACACCGCCGCACTGTACGATGATAATATTATATTGTACAAGAACGATGTGTATTCCTATAATATTTTAATGACCTAGGTGTGTAAATTTGAATTTGGCAGCAGACAATAATAAAATTATTAAACGGGGATAATAATAATATAATATTACCTATACGAATGTCGTACGTTAATAATATATTAAAACTATTAATATTAATATTATAGATTAATTTTTAATTGTTAAATTAGTTATATTACAGTGTTTATATATGTGTATATATATATATATACACACACACACACACACACACACACACACACACACTATAATATCGATTTATTGTTATGTTAATAATAATACGCGTTGTTTCGAGACACCCGGATATTGTTCTTATTTTTTCTGCCAATATCGTTAAAACGTGTACAATATTAACGAATATAATTAAGCGAAAAAACATAATAATTCATATTTTTGCAGACCGCAACGACTAAATTGATTTTTTTTTTTTTTTTAAGTAAGAAAAATTATTAAGAAATATATATATTATATACCTATAATAATCAGTGCTCGGAATGGAGGCTCAGTACGCTAGCTGTTCCGGTTATGGTAAAAAAAAAACAGATATAGGTGTATTAATTATACAGTATTATTATCGTCATTCGGATGGTCCAGTAACAAATTGTTTCCGAAATCTCTGGGGAAAAAAAAAAAATAATAACACTTTTATTGTTCTTCATTTTGTACATATTTGTATTTTATTTTATTATTATTATTATTATTATTTTTTTTTTTTTGATGGTAGAAAACCGAAAAAAATATACTCATATGTTTTATTGTATTTATTTATTTATTTATACCGTTGTAAAATATAAAACTAATTTTTTACTAAATTCGATTAAGTATATTTTTTAAAGATATGTTAGGTTAATAATATTATGTTTTTAGTGTATCGTATTATTATTATTGATAAGATGTAATTATTAAATTATTAATATTTGATCGCATCGTAATACATGACAACTTAGAGATTATGTAGTATAGGTTAGGTTAGGCTATTCTAAATTATATTAGATATATTTAAAAACAAACTTAACTCATCTGTTCGATTTTTCTTTTTTTTTTATAATTGAATAAGATAAAATTCGAAACCGCGCAGAATCGTTTTTTTTTTTTCTATTTCGAGCACTGAAATTAATAACCCCATATTGTTCCTATATATAAAAAAAGAAAAAAAAATACTGAGTCGTATTAATTATTAATTTAAAATAGAAGTTTATTATTATATTATATAATATGTATATATATATATATACATATATATTATATATATATATATATATATATTATGTTGAATATGTATGAATGTAAAACACAAAATAACCGCATACGATAATAATATTATGTTATTATATTATGTACTATATTATACTGTACGATAATACACATCAATCACGTAATATTTTTAGCGAAAACAAAGAGAAAAAAAAAAATCATCGTGATACACGGTAACAGACACACACAGACATACAGACACACAGAAACACAGACACACAGACACACAGACACACACACACACACACACACACACACACACACACACACACACAAACAGTCACAAACATACACTTACACACTCACATATTATATTATACATAATTATTATTATTATTATTTCTATAATGTACATCTACGGTATAATAATATTATGTACGATTTACAATAACGATTGATGATGATGTTAAATATAGTAATGAATATTATAAATATAAATAAAAATTGTATTGATTTTTGTCTCATACATGTCTACTTAAAAATGTATTCCGGCGGGCTCTACTCGGGTGATTTCCCCCGGCTTTCCTATTTACTAACATCCTGTATAATGTATAAGAAGCGTATAGTCACGATTTACGGTAAGTCAGTACAACACGCAAACTCGTCTGTTCGCTCCCCCCCCCCTCAAAATATAAGCGCTTGCAATAACGAAACATCCAATTCGAATTTGTATTTGTTTTAGTTATTTATTTATCGTAGTTAGATAACTCTATTTTTTTTTTTTTTATTTAAAAAGAAAATTATTTTGCTATTTTCATGTTTTACTGATTCCCGATAAAATTTGACCCTTGGCCTGAAGGTTTAAAACTGCGGACTGGCCTGTAACCTATAACCAGTCCGACTGTGCAAACGCCAATATTGGTTTTATATCACCAGAGACCAATGTTGGTCTAATATACACCAATCGTGAAGGAACTGTTTAAAGTAACACAGGAACGAACTTTCTCGTGTTTAAAAAAGCTGAAAATTTACTAAAGAAGCACAATGACCTTTAATAATTTAATAAAATGATAGTTGATTACTGTTGATTAGTGATTAAATAATATTCTTTAGATTTGATTTAACAAATTGACAATGTCGGCTACTCATCAAGATGTACCACTTTCAGCAGAAAGAAGTAATCAATGATCTAGCTAAAATAGTGTCTCATAAAACTTAATTCTGTTCTCTGGCTTTGTATTATAAGTTAAACTAAACAAATATTTTATACTCCAAAAATTGTACATTATTTATGTTAAACAAAAATAAAATAAATTACTCGGCATTGAATAATACAGATATATGTATCTACTTATGTCCTATATATCTGTGTCTTATGAATATACGATTTATACAAGAATAATATATGCACATAGAAGAACTGTTGGTTCTCCAGGAAAACTATTGATCTCATTAAGCAGCGTCGAGAAATGAAAGTCAAGGGACTGCACAGTCCAGTACAACCTACTCTCAGCGCAGATAAGAAGAGAAATCCGCCGGGACAAGAACCAGGTCATCACTGAAACGTGCCAGAGGATTGAAGCCCCTGCAGATAAAAATCAGACACGCGAATTATTCCAAGAAATTAAGAAGCTCACTGGGGATTTCAAGCTAAGGAGATCGGCTATAAAAGATGAAAATAGAAAAGAGAAGGTAGACCCAAGCAAAATTCTAGAGTGTTAGAGTACTTACTACTAGAAGTTGTACACAGACCAAATGAACACGTTAGAAATGGAATCATTACTGGTGAACAATAACCTGAAATTCTTTTGGAGAAAATTGAGCAGATATTGTCAAAGCTGAAGAAAAATAAGGCACCCGGATTAGATGAAATCACTGCAGAAATGATGAAACTATCTGGGGAGAAAGAAACAAAGATCTTTTGGAAATTATGCAGTGTGGTATGAACTACATGAGCATAGCTCAAAAAATGGATGGAATCCATCTTCATACAACTTCATAAGAAAGGGTCTACCGAAGCATCCAAAGTCCTACTGAACGCTATCCACGCAAGACTGTGCAAACCGATAAGCCGCAATAAACCATACGAAATCGTTCGATATAAATTCTGCCGTGATACATATTGCCGTGATAAATATCGCCGTGATACAAGAGGATCCGAGGGAGACTGAGCACTCTAGCTCCTGCTTAATTGTACCACTGTTCAGTTATAATTTCTAAAACTAGTCCAAAATCATAAATTGCATCTCGCGTAGTCGTCGATATAGTAGTTAAAACCGATACATTATATAAGTAAAATATTACAATTTTTTTTCTATGAACAACTTTTCTACAAGCAATTTTGCTCCGAACAATGATAGCACTTTTTCTGAAAAAAAAACTGACTAGAAAGGTACTTTAAGGAGGTTATTTTTCGATTTTTCCAATAAAGTAATAAAGTCTATTCTACTCTGATTTTTACGTTGTTTACGAATATTTGAAAATGATACATTGGATATAATATGGGTTTTAAACCTCAGGGCTCAGATATAGCTATAATTATTGTCAGAGTACTTCAAGTATGTATTATTTCATTTATAATATTAAAATGTGTGTATCTTTTTTTTTGTGTGTGATTATCATGACGCTATAGGGAGGCACTGCACCCGTTAGGGATCGTCCTTCTCCCTGTATCCGTATCATTTATTGAGTTTTCAATACATGTCGCTGCGGGTGGATGACGGTACAATCCCCCGCTAGCCAAGCCCTTACAAAAACGTTTTTCATTGCTATATAATTGTCATTGGTCCTTTTCTCGAGCCGTCGATGACCGTTGCCCTAGACACCATGTACTGACCGCTCCTTTTCTTGGGCCAGTGAGCTTCACCACTCTTGCATTCTCGTGCTGGTATTCACTTCTCAAAAAGCCTCACGTCTGTTCCCTTTTAGCAATATTTTACTTGCAGCAGCTAGTTGTGGCAGGTACCCATCGCCACCGGCTTCCCACCCGCCTGACGCCATAATTATATAGACAGTGTCGGTAGCATATCCGACGTCTACGATGATCCTCGTCATCCCATCCGTATGGGATCTGTAGCTATCAAGTTGTTGACTTGGGGTTCAGCGGACGTCTACCCTGGATTGTAGTCTGGGATCTTGAAGCGCCGCTCATTATTCAACCCTTTCCTCCTCCTCCTTTGTAGATAGTACCTTATCTACATACCGCCTTACTACTGATCAGTTGGTTTTTGCCTCTAGCATCTTTCCAACAATGGTTTCCGGTGCCATAGCCGCCCTGAGGAGGACCTTCAGGTCCGTCTTTAGCCGCTACCATCTGTCACATACAAAAATGTTATGCTCAGCATTATCTTCCGTCGCCCTGCAATCCACACAAGCCGGGCTCTGGTGCCTTTTAAATCTATACAGGTACTGGCCAAAGCACCCGTGTCTGGTCAGCATCTGTGCCAGATGAAAGTCACAGTTTTCAAACTGCCGAGATGTCCACTGCTTGAGGTCCCCGATCAGCCTTCAGGTCCATCTACCACTGCTGGCACTGTTCCATTCCACCTGCTAATTGGCAATGGTTGATCTACCTCGACGACCGTGGTACCATTCTTCTTCATAATATACCTCTTTTAGCTCTCTCTGGTGGCGAGGTGAACTGGGATCTGGCCAGCCACGACCAGTGTGACGTCGATAGAAACCGTCCTGTACGCCATCACTGTCCTAAGGGTTTTTTTCCTCTACGCCCCCTCAAGCGCTTTAATATTGTTGTTGTATACCAGAACGCCGGCCCGTCGGAGCGGCGTACAGAAACCAGTTGGTGACCACCGTAGCCAAAAACTTTCTCACCCTCTGTTTAACGTCGCCTACATTTGGAGGAATTCTCCCTAATGCGTTAACCGTTGCACTGGCTTTTGCCTTGCCTTGCCTTTTGCCTATACCCGATCCTACGGCATAACTCCACCTTTAGATATCTCGGGCTTTCTTTTGGCTCCACCGTTACTTCGCTACAATGAATGTATGTGTGTCAATTCTCTTTTTTTGGTGAGTATGACGGCTTCAGCCTTGTGTGCCACTAGTGTGGGCTCATTTCTACACATCCACTCGGACACTCCAGCAGCCCCTTATTATACTAATGCTACAATCATCACGTCGTCCGCGAAAGCGACTGACTCGGCCAAGGAATGACCAGGAGTGTTGTCGCTAAGGTCGACATCGAGGAGGTCGTCATATATCATGTTCCGAGTATCGGCCCAATGACCGACCCCTGCGGAACGCCACAGCTCACCGACCAATCCCTCAGGTAACTGTGTGAAAGCCGTGCCAGATATCCAGGGACCTGCTTTCTGTCCAATGCGTCGCTAATCTATCTTCATTTGGCCGAGTTAAAGGCGTTTGCCACAACATTTATGTATCTGATCAACCCATACCACAAAATACTTTTTGTAGACTATACAGATGAGTAAGTCTTCTTATCAGTGCATAATAATTCAGTGAATGACTTAGCTAATTTACAAGTTCATTTAAATTAGTTGTACAATAAGTATGTTAAATGAGAAATCAAAATTAATCATAATAAATCATTCCATGTGAAAATCAGTTTAAGATAGCACTACCCAAACATTACAATAAATAATTTAACAATTCCTTATCTTAATACTGTTCAAAATATTTAGGTCTTAATCTAGATAAAAGATTAACTAGGAATAATCATATAAAATCAAAAAAAAATAATTCTGAATTCCTAGTCTTATATACTAAAAACCGGTGGTTTACTTTGGAGGGGACGCGGGCGGACTGAGCACCTCAATTAATTTATTGGATATTCAAGCGTTCCTTTACTTTTTTTTTAAAGAGGATTGTATGAAGTAGTTGTTATAAGCTGAACTATTTTTATAAAATTGCTCAACTTAAATTTTTGTATGAAATATATGAATCTTATAAAATGTATTGATACCTCATATCAGATACGTGATAACTCATAAGTAGCCATCAATAATAACTATTGATCATCTTTAAACCCATGATAATTCTTATATTATCCATGGTAACCAGTAACCACTGAGTAGTATCTTTTAATAAATGAAAAAAGATACTTAGTTAATTAATTTACTACTTCATAAAATAAATATGAAATACAAATCTTATATTAATACACTTACCTATCCTGGATGAAAACAACGGTATTCCTATAATAGATGACAATGTTAAAGAAGAACATGAACAAAATTGCGTTAATTTGTTGACGCGGAGAAAAACAGACACAAGAAAAAAAAACGAGGTACGTCTTCGCGCGAGGAAGGGCTCTGACGTGGATGGTTGGGCCGGGAAATATGTATGAAGAAAAGAGAGTATGTGTGTTATCATCTGGTCATCGGTCTCATATATTACCTTAAATATTAATTATCGAATAATCTTATAAAATAAAAAATGTGTACTGGAATAACAATACACTAATATTACAATATTATTTCAGTAATACAATATAATCTAGCGCGACAGTATTGCAAAAAGTTCAAAAAAATCATTGATTGTTGTATAT